TGTCGCGTTGGTAGTAGTTACTGGTTGAACTTTAATTTTTTCCAAAGCTGAGCCGCTGTATGCATAGTGAGTTCGCCACCATTGTGTAAATCTTTTTCGAAAAGCGGTAGATGTAGAACTGTCGAAGAGATAATGCGGGTACATGATATTTGGATCCCATATCTTCTGTTACAATACTGTAGGTGATCCAATCGGATCTTGTGTCATAGTGTGAAGTTGCTTTTCACGTCGTGTCGATTAATACAATAGTTGTTGATGTAGGTGACTGTATGCTTGAGAATTCAATTCATTTAGAACTGGCATGGCATTGTTTACTTGGAAGAATCGATTGAATTGTTTTCTAATGAAATTTGGTGGATAATTGTTTAATAATAGTGACATATCAATACGAATGCGTTCTCTGTTGAAGTCGTGTAGATCGGAACAAATTCGAGCCGCACGTAGTAGGGCAGCATATGGTATATTACGATGAATATGTCTTGGATGATCGGATGTGTATAGCAATATATAAGGTTCAGTAGTTGGTTTATGATAAAGAGATGTTTTTAATTGCCCATTTTCATTTGTTATAGTAACATCCAAAAAATTAACTGATGTATCAATTTCATAGTGAATTTTAATATTCATATCTTTATTGGCAGCTTTTTCGAGTTCTATTTTAATTTCATCTATGCTCTGGTTAGTTGTCATGAATATATCATCGATGTACCTGTAAAAGATATATATCAGTCTTGATATACTTTTTCATCTGATAAATATTGCACAAACCTTTCATATACTCCATTGTGAATTGCTTGATGTTTGATTAAATCTTGCTCCCATTCATACATATAGATATTAGCCAATACTTGTGTAAATGCTGAGCCCATAGCACCACCACGAGTTTGTTGATAATATTTATTATCATAAGCAAAACAATTAGTGTCTAATATTAAACGAGCCATTCTCATAATACCAGCAATAGATAATGTACCAATTTTTCCATGATGTGAATTCTTTTCTAAAAATCGCATCAATGTATGTAATGCACCTTCTCGAGGTATCATTGTATAAAGATCAGTCACATTAATTATAATAAATTTTGTTGTTGCCTGAAAATGACCATCCAAAATATATTTTTCCAATTTTCGTATCACATCAATGCCATTAATAAATGTTATTTCACGAGCAATATTTAAATATATAGGTGCTAATAGATCATTTAAAAATATCGATACCAATGTTGCTGGTGCATGTATACAGGCAATAATAGGTCGTAATGGTGTACTAGGCTAGGCAAAAGCAATAAAAAAGATTATAAATTATGTCTATATTGATCTAAACTATCTTTACTTTATGTGGTTTCTGTAGGCCATGATAATGACCAAGTTCCAATTTGTTTAGTTTTGGAGATATTTTACTATATTGTTGAAAGCTGAGAGCTTTCTGTGCTGTAAGACTGGAGAGTAATGTTTGTACAGTATATAACATATTTGATAGAGGACAATGACCACTTGTAGTTTCTTGATAAGCTTTTATTTTTAACATATATTCTTCTGCTTTTCGTGCAAAATCAGTTGCTTTACAAATATAGAATACTTTGCTTTTATCTGTACGACGTATGACAATATCTGGCCTGCCACGTAAAAGACATCGAATACTTTGTACGATTTTGTACTCACGTTTTGCACGTTTTCCAAATTTTTTGGATAGCTTTTTTGATTGTAATTCATGTAGGATACACCGTAATGCTTGAAATGCTTCTTCTGCTCGTTGATTTGCAGCTGGTATTCGATGATCTTTTAGGCAGTTTTTTACTGTTGTTGATATACTTTGATATTGTTCACTAACAAGTTGTTCAATTGATTTGCCAGAAAATTGATTTTGACATGGTATAATATATTTGAGACCATTGATAAACATAGACATTTGTTGTGGAGTTAAATTTAAATCGACTTCAATAAATGGTAATGAAGCAGTAATGGTAGTATAAATTGATATATTGCTCCGACGACCACGAAACTGTTTCATTCGTTTGATGTCGTCGGAGCTTCGTCGAAAAAAGTATACAATTTATGTCCAAAATATAGCTCATGATGTTTTTCTATTGCTTGTCGGCGATTTTCAATTGCTTGAATCAATAATTCACTGCAACATTGTGGCAATTTATTCTGTAAATCAAGGGGGAAACGGCGGACTTGAAGTAGAAAAGTACGTCAAAGTAGACTATTTGAAGTAGCTCAAAGTATCACCCAAGTAGCCCAAAGTAGGAACAAGTAGCTTAAAGTAACTTCAAGTAACTTCAGGTAAATTTGAAGTTGAAAAATACTTCAAAGTAAGCTACTTCAAGTAGCTGAAAGTAACTTGAAGTAGCTTAAAGTAGCTCAAAGTAACTTCAAGTCCAAAAGTCCGCCGTTTCCCCCTTGCTGTAAATCCATAAGTAATTGTGGGTATTACTAATTTATGCTAACACCACTAACACCCAACCTTGTAAAAACGCATATGAATCATCTTCACTGACATCCACATCTTGGTGAGTTATGTTCGCAAATACCCGCAAACACCCACATTGTCCAACTTCCAGAAAAAATAAACCGTCAACAAAGACCAAAAAATGACTCACATCAACACTACCACCCAGGATCGCTCTTATTGTCAACTCAAATACCCCAAGTTCTCTTGGCAAACACCCACAGAACTCTATAATCTACATTCGATACAAATATCTGCTATCCCCGATGATGTGGGTGTGGGTGTCTTCTTTTGTTCAAGATCCTCACCAACCCCACACTCACACCCACACCCTTAGGGATGGCAGATATTTGTGTCAGAATGTAGATTATAGAGTTCTGTGGGTGTTTGTCAAGAGAACTTGGGGTGTTTGGGTTGACAATAAGAGCGATCCTGAGTGGTAATGTTGATGTGAGTCATTTTTTGGTCTTTGTTGACGGTTTAGTTTTTCTGGAAGTCGGACAATGAGGGTGTTTGCGAACATAACTCACCAAGATGTGGATGTTAGTGAAGATGATTCATATGCGCTTTTACAAAGTTGGGTGTTTATGCTATAAGCATACATTAGTAATACCCATTAGTAAAATCCAATTTTCTTTATATTAGGAGATATTTCTAGAGAAAAGTTTATAAGAAAAAGTTATTCGGGGATGGCACTTATTCGGGTCAGAATGTAGATTGTAGAGTTCTGTGGGTGTTAGTGAATACAACTTGGGGTGCTTGTGCAGACTATAAGTGAGATTTTGGGTGTTAGTGTTGAAGGGGGTCATTTTTTGGTCTTTGTTGACGGTTTATTTTTTCTAGGAGTCGGACAAAGTGGGTGTTAGTAGGTGTTTGTGCACATAACTCTCCAAGTTGTGGGTGTTAGTGAAGATGACCCATATGCGTTTTTACAAAGTTGGGTGTTAGTGGTGTTAGCATAAATTAGTAATACCCCAAAATATGTATGTATACAAAGGAAGTAACTTTTCTCTTGCCATGTGACTACTATGTAATAGGGACTCGTCACGCCATTGATTCTGTTCTGTTCGTGTACATCATCAATCGTCTCTAACTCACTCTCTACTTTTATGTGCAACGTAGTCTCCTCCATACAAAATTAATGAATTAAAACATGGATTTTTTTATCATATCAATTAGGAAACTTTTTCATTAGCAAAAAAAAAATAATAATGATAGTTTAGTTTTTGGCCAGTATCGACCATCATCAGAACGTTTGTGTTGTTGTTATTATTTGTTTATCATTTATAATTAATGTAAGTTGATGTAAAATATAACCACAACCAATAATAATTGAGTTGGAAAACTTGGAGAAATGAAATTATGAAATTTCTGGAAAGAAAAGTAAATGATATAGATAAAATCTTTTATTTGTTTTTTAAACTTGTGTGCTCTTCTGTATCATGATTGTGCGTGTATTAATGTTAGTGTTGGAAGGAGTCGTATCAAATATTTTCCGTTAGGTTCTTGTTGATAAAGTGTAAAGTATCTGGAAGAAAAACGAGGAAGTATATTGAGGATGTTAGTATTTTGGTTTTTTGTAGTAAGATAGTGTATCGGTTAGGTAAAGGAGATTGTTGGCGATGATTTTTTTTTGTTGTTATGTTATGTATTCTTATGAGTTTTTCTTCTATTCTTTCGTCGTTTTCCCGAAGTATTGGCGGTTATGTGGTTATATCTGGGTATTCATTGTCAGCTTCTTTAGCAAGTCTTTTGGCTGCGCGTCTACGAATAGTTCGCAGACGACATTCTCTTTGCTCAATCGTTTTATATTTTCTTTGTTTTCTTTTTCTGTCTCAATCAAATCATAATCGGTTTTGTTTTTGTTCCATTGTTTCATTTCGTCCCGATCGTCTAGGAGACCCTCGCTGTTTATTCTGAATATTTGAGTTTGAGTCGTCAAATTTCTCTTCAGTAGTCATCATAGAATTGTTATAATAATTTTCAAGAACAAAAAATCAATATCAATACATTTTTTTTATATATTTCATTATTTTTTATTGTTCTCATTTTTCCGCCTGGCAGACTTATACATAGATTTAAAATATTTCAAACTAATTTTCTTCGTAAGACCCTTTATTTCATAAAAGATAATAAGATTTTCTTAGTAATCGATATTGATAGAATCCACTTTATCATTGAATTGATCACCAACATACCATCGACTGCCTTTTAACCAGTCACTGTGACCAGTACCCTCCGGTTTAAATAGCATCATTTGATGACCAGGTCCGATTAATATTGCCGATACCTATATAAAAAGTATTCTAGAAAATAGAATTATAACAGAAAACGTAATTGTTTACTTTATCATTCCAATGTTGACCACCTGTTACATCTTTGTGACCGGAATCATTAAAGCATTGCATGTAATGTCCTGTTGGACAGCCGACATCTATGTAACATCAACAAAATTGAGAAAAATGTACAATCGGATACAATAGTTTAAGTGAAATTAGTTTTTCAGTATTTTTTTCATATTATGAGGTACGGGTCTGATCCAAATGGTGATATAGATAGTATGAGAGGCCAACAACATGATGTATTATAGAACGAGGCTCTGTCTGTCTATATAGATGGAATTTGAAGAATTTCACTTTTTCCGTGTTTTTTGGTTATTCTCACTATAACCAAGTTTTGAAGGTGAAGACTCTGGGAAAGAATCTTTTTTTTTAAAAACTGATAGAGCGTGAAATGTTCTATCGATTGATATAATTTTGTTTCATTTTAACTTGAATCTCTTGATTAGGAAATGCGAAATACTGAAAGGCACTTAAACCTGTTTTTGCATAGAAACAAATTATTTTAATTATGAAAAATCTATATAGGCAGATAGAGTCTCGTTCTATAATATATTATGTAGCTGGCCTTTCATACTATCTATATGACCATTTGAATCAGACCCGTACCTCATAATATGAAAAAAAATACTGAAAAACTAATTTCACTTAAACTTTTGTTCCTGACTGTAGAAGAAGAATGGAAAAACAAAATTTTTATTTTAGTTCTTTCCTTGACTACTATAATATAATTCATCACGATTGGTTTGTTTACTGTTAGTAATTCTCTATTTATTTGAATGAGAAAACTAGTTTACCATCACACACACATCCAGTTAATCCTTGATGTGTGACATCAAACGGCAACAATCCATTGACGGCTGCATCAATATTAGGTACAATTGGCGCAGCATACTTATGTTTATATACTTTAATCATTGCAGAAGCGAGATTGAGATCACCAATGGTAACAACAATTAGATCATTACCACTAAAATTATTGTTATCATTGATTAGAGAGAGTGGATATCGATTGCCCACTTTCTATGTAAATAAATAGCAGAGATGATGCTAATTAATATACGAGAAAAATGAAGTAAACTCACACGAAAGAGCATAGCAAAGTATGATGCTTCAATGACTTGAGCTATTGCATTATCTCGTGTACGTTCATATAAACGAGCAAGACCAAGATAAAATATTCCTAAGATAGAGTCATAAATAAAGATTACATTTAAATTTTAAAATCATATTGTTTAACATTTTTAGTAATAGAAAATTTTTTTCTATTTAAAATACGATACCTCGAAACGCAATTTGATCTCCTCTGCATGTGTTTGTATCATCACATCCTTCATAAACAATGTTATTTCGTGTAAATTGATTGATAGCATTGTGAATATAGGTAATTGCATGTGTTATATATTGTTGATTACCTGTTGCATCAGCTAGGGCCATGAGTGCTTGTACTAGAACACCGTATTCATAGGTCAAAGACTAAAAAATAATTAATATATGGAAATTTTATTAGAGAATTTATGATATTTACACCACCCCACAACTGACATTGCCCATTATCAGTGTTCATGGTATCTCTTTGATAGCCTGTTTGAGGATTGAGCAGATCCGTTGAGACTAACCAGTTGTAAATATCAATCGCTCAACCACGTGCGCCACCTTGAAGTAATGTTGAATCGCGTGTGAAAGAATACATTGTAGCCATTGTATAAATAGTTAGGACATTTGATATTGTAGTTTTATCAGTGGTAGAAGGAGGTGGATTTCCATAATACCAATAGACTCTATTCATTGAAGTGGAACATCGTAGGAAAGTTCTGTGCTAACTTTGAAAATGAATACTTACCCACCGCCACACTCTCCTGTTTCATATGCAACATTATCATTGATAACAGCTTGTGCAGCCTTGATAAGATCTTGAGTGGCATCACCAGTTGACCGAATATATTGTTCTAAACGAAGAGCACCATTTGCCCACCAAGCTTGATCATCTGTAAATTTAGTATGAACATAATTAGTTTGCTTCTTAGCTGTTTCAATTGCAGCCCATCGTGTAGCAAGGTATAACTTATCCGTAGCTAGAAAAGAACTTGTTTTTTTGTTTACCTATATTTCTATTTTGATGAATCTACCTCTTCCTTCCATCGTATGAAAAAATTCAGCAAATGACCATAAGCCTACTCCGCTAGGCCACCATATACTAGGACCTCCGTCTGACCATAAACCAGTAGCTCCATCATTATTATACCAATTACCAGCCAACTGTGCGGCAATATCATAGGCAATAGCATATGGACAAAAACCACCTTGAAATTTACCCGTACAAACGAAACGTAATGCTTCGAATACATCCTTTGCAGGTGGACTACTATTTGTAAAAATAATAGTAAGAAGAAGAAGAACAAGACTGAATAATTTTGATTTATACATCTACAGTGAGAAAGAACAAGTTATAGATGGATCATATTTTCGTCATATTGACAAAAATATATGAGTACGCGAAGGCCCTAAATGAAGAAATTCTATAGACAGAAATAACATGCGAGTAATGTTCCTAGTGAAGGGAGAGCACAGAAAGGATAAGCAGACATTACAATCATATCTACCACCAGCTAATAGGTGACTCCATACCAAAGAGTCGTCTTCATTGGATAGTTTCGATTAAAATATAAGAAAAGTATTTTATCACAGAGAAATCATCAAACGAAGTCTCTCTTAGATTGTTCAATCAATAAGTTCTCGAATAAACTTTCCATTACTTTAATTTCGTAAAACAATCTGATGGACTTCTTAGCTCATCGCGGATAAAGACAGTTAATTATTGGGTACACAGTGGACAACAACGTGGACATTAGACAAAAGAATGAAAGTGAGATTTTTGATGATTTGAACAGTATATGGTATGCTTTGGCTCATGACCAATTAGACGAAGTCAAAGATTTTGTTTCGGCTCTTTACTTTACTAGTAAACCTTTGTCACAAGATAAGGACGTTTTTCAGTGATCTCAGGAAAAAATTTATTTTTCAGAGAAGATAGGAAGAATAGACTAACAAATTGTATATATTCTGAAAGTAGAGCATCTGCTCTATTGATTCGTAAAAAAATTTTGCTTTTTCTCTTTTCCAGTTGGCAAAAGTAATCTTTCTTTATGTACTAAAGGTTCATCTAAAAAAAGGTGTCTCCAGTAAAGTAGTGTTTTTCGCAATTTTCCACAGCTCCAATTTAACTGAAATTTTCAGAGATAATTCTTCTTTATATCATGCGCCTACTGTGGATGCATAAATGCTTCTGGATCAAGATATAGAATTTCCAGAAAATCTTGATTTGTGAAGATTTTTATTGTTTTTCAAACTGTTGAAGCGGTTTTAGACCAAAATCACGGTACAAAACTGCATCGAATGATGCATAATATGTTAGTTTTTCAAATAAAAAATCTTTTGACAAAAAATGAAGGCAAGGATGTCCCGCAGGGATTCTTCATTTAAAAAATTTTTTTCGAATTCACATTTTTATCAGTAATTGGTTTCTACCAAGAGAAACTGGCATTCTTATGCCAAAAAAGGCAATTTCGGCACGAAATAAGCCATGTTCATGAGTTGTATAGAAATTGCTCAGTGTGCTTTGGCCTCTGGAAAACCATAAGTTTCTAGAAAGTCAACGTTCAAGTACCTCTGAGTTCTGAAAAGGACTTCACAGGAAACAACACAGGCAAAAATCTATAATGCAATATTTTTGAGCGTATTAGAATGTTTTAAAACCAAATGTCCACGTGCCTACCAAAAGTTGCCCTGTCTGTGGGGTGTCCCAAAATGTTTGAATACTTTTTATTTTGCGTATATCTCAGCATGAGTAAATGATAAATTCTTGATTTTTTTTAAAGATGCGCCGTGAAAAGCTCTGCAAAATCTATATAAAGAAGTCTCTATTGACTTTCTCTCATGATTATTTCCTAAACGGTTTAAAAGTGACGATCTACGTGATGTTACTATTTCGCGCTATATCGAGTATAACCAACCCATGTAAAAGTTTTGATCGAAAAAAAGTCACTATTAATTACTTTCATTATTTTTTTCACGAAGTGAAAATAGTACCTATAAGTGAACCATTTTAAGTGACTATAAGTATACTTATAAGTAAAAAGTACTTATTATTACTTTCAAAAGTACCAAAAGAATGCTTATCCATTTATACTTTAGTAATTAAATAGTCACTTTTTGTTATTTCTGAAAGTACTAAAAAGAATTTATGCCACTATACCTTTAATTAATAAAGTAACTTAAGTACTTTATAGTAATCGATGTACTGCTTTTGAAAAAGTTACTTTGAAACAATAAATGCGCTCGAGAGTGATTAAAAGAGTATTATTTTTCGACTCATACAAGTATAATCGGCTATTAGCTACAGTCATCCACTTTCAGTGCAATTTTATCTACGATCTATCCCGTCTGACACAGATGTGAAAGTCACATCTGTTGGTATCTATTACTATTCAATATTCTATAATACTCTGAAAACAAAAATATATGATTCTCTGTAGTCATTCACTATCATCAACGATCAGTTATTATTATCTACTTTTCATTTCACTGGTCCCCATAATCATCTATTTTTCTGTCGTAAATGCAGAATTCAGTAATATAATGTTATCGTAGATTTCAGTTAACTCAATTTTTTTCATAAAGGTTCCCATCCTTCAACACATTATGCTCGTAACGATTAATAACTGGGGTGTGGGTGTTGGTGTTGTGTTCGTTTTATTTTCACCCCCACCCGCACACCCACACCCACACACCCTCCCATATTTGGCAGAAAAATAAAAGAGTAGAATCTTCTCAGATCCTAATGTCAATGCTTTTTTCTTCCCGTCTTTGGATCTTCTATAGTGGATTTATATCAAAGATAATTTATAGAAGTAAGAAATATTGAAAAAAAAATAATCTCTCAGTGGAAATTAAAATATAAGTTGTTTTTTTTGTCATATATATTACATTATGAAAAAAAAAAAAAAAAAAAAATTTAAATCCACCCCCCCCCCCCCCCCCCCCCCGTCGCTCAGAAACGATTTTCCACTTGGAATCGTACAGTTGAGCTGAAACTTTTAGGGATGACTTATCCTGGTGAGATATGTCTCTGGTAAAAATTTCAGCCCTATAAATCGTACTAGGCCGGAGTTTCAGCTGATTTACGACAGATTTTTGGAATCGACATCACTTTCTCACGAGACTGGCTATTGAGCTCAGGATGGTTTCAAATAAAAGCTAATGTCAGTGCCCAACTTGTGTCCAACCAGAATTTAGAAACTCATTCTCATTCATTTTTTATGAGTATTTTTGGTGACCAAGTCGAAAAATCAGCATAAAAAATTGTGGTCCAACGACAGTAAATGCCACTTTTCTCAGGCCAAGAACAAACTATAAAAAATCTCTTCGGACAAAAGTTAGCTATGATGAAGACCCTTAAAAGAAAAACAAAAAAGAAAGAAAATATTGGGGTATTGCCTGAGTCTGGAAACCGTATTTTGAGAAATACGCAAAAAAAAAATCTAGAATTCGATTTTTTCATGCAAATCCAGAAGAAATTATATTACAATGGTATTTTACTAATTCATTTTAATCGACCGTTTCAAAGCACGTAACGAGATGCAGGTAACTAAAGGCAGCTGACGTGCTCACCAATATAAAAATGTTCTACTCAATGCTAATGCAAGTGGCAAGATAGTTTTTCCAAAAATGAAAACCTTTAAAAACCACGAAAATTTCTCAAAAAATATCCTGGTAGACTCAAAGTTTGATGTCACAAGTCTTTGAAAATCTGATCATTTTCCTCGAATCCATAGATATTCTGAAAGAGAAAGCGTCGCTACAGCTTAGTATGATAAAAACTCAACTTCGATATTTCTTTGAAAAATTGAATTTGCTAAGGGGGCGGAGGCCGTTATAGAATTACATTGAAATTTAATTCAAAGAGAATATCGACCGTTTATATAATTATTACTGATATCATTTTATAAAGTTTATACTCTTTTTTATTTAAGCAGAACAATAAACGAAGTATATATAGGATATTTATTGAAATCCTTAATACGTTTACCAAGATAATATTTGAACAAGAAAATTATCAAACCTATCTTGAAATAATAATTCGTTTTAAATAATATTCTTTATCAGAATCTATTGAGGGTAAATCACTTTTTGCTCGGTTATCAAGAAACAAAGTTCTAAGAAAAATTTGTTCCATTTTTAGATTCTAAATGAGAGACAAATGGAAGAGAATGGTATTAAAAATTCAAAAAAAAAAGACTTTATCTTTTCTTTTTGTTGACTGCATAGTGTCTATATGTACTCATACTCTAATAACATTTTTATTCAATGCACTTTGATTAAGATTTTAATATCGATATGAAAATGATTATCTATTCCACCGTTTTATTAACAAATATCGCCGGTCGATTTCTATATAGACATCTTCGAGATTACAAATAAATTCAAATAAATTATTTTAAAATAGGAAAGGCATAAGGTAACCAATCTATTTTATTCTATGGACACCTTTTCTATAATGCTTTATCAATATCAATTCATAGTAACACTACACAATTATTTACAATTAAACTAAAATAAATAAGTTTATTAGAGAGTTTTAAAAGTTGATTAGAGAGAATTTGAGGTTGAAAAAACACATAAAACCGTTGGAAAATTATTCATTTGAGCAAACGGAAAAAAATCTATCATTTTAATGGTTTCGATTTAAATATAATAGGATGTAAAATTTTAAATAGATTTCAATTATTTCTTCTATTCTATGTAGACAAGTAACGTTCATCGACAGTCGATTCACCTGGCCCTAGACTGACGCCATAACGACACATATGTGTTAGAAAGTTATAAGATTAAGATTAAAAAGTTAATACTAAAATTCTTCTGAGTACAAAAACGCGCTAATAAAATTAGCGCTGTTTATACTCAAAAAAAAATCACATTTAAAATAATATCGTTTTCATACGTCATAAAATTACATATTTGTTCTGATTCACTTCTCAAAATTTTATTACACATCATATACTGATTTGTAATATGGGTACTATATAGTCTTTTGTACCATACTTACCGAAATAGTCATTTGTACCATGTTACGGGCAAAAACGATATATGTGCAAACAGATCAATTCCCGTTTCTAGACCCTATCCTTGCAGTCTAGAGAATATCGCTTATCGGTCAGAATATGAAAAGTAATTCCATTGAATGTTATCTCACAATACACTCAAGAATTATAAAATCCGATGGTAAATCGTCATAATTGCAGTACGAATCGACATCTTCTTGTTTTTTTTTGTTTGCATCTATGTGCATAAAATTAATAAGTATTGATAATTCTTGTCACATTGTTAAAGAAAAAAAAGCTAAAATTTCGCTTTGGAACTGTGGGCTTTTTTTTTGATAGAATCGTTCAAAAAAAAATTATCGTTATATATGTATAAGAAAAGAAAATAAGCAACATGTTTGAATGAACAACACAAATATAATATACAATAATTTACATTGAAATACGTCCAGAAAATCGAAGAGCAAGAAGAGTAATAGTAACAATACCAGAAAGAGTAGCGACTATATTCAGTATTGCAGCTAATCTTGAAGCATTTTGTGCACCTACAAGATCACCATAGCGTTTCTTTTTTCTTGTTTTACAAGACATGCTAAGTGCACCAGCACCAATAATAAGACAACAGAATAATAAATTGAAGACCGACCATATTGTATACTCATGTATATTATAAATATTTTCTGAAAAATAATGATGATGATTTGTAACATGATGAACAGCTGTCACTGGTATTGTTTCGCTATTGTGATAAAATGATGAAGGCATTGTTTGATATTGATAATAACTTTCTAAAGACCGAGTATTGATTTGGTTACAATTTCGCTGTGCTGGCTGCATCGTTACAACATTGCTTGCTTTTTGTGTTTGACCAGTCTCATTTGATGGAACATATTTCACATCATCTATATTGATATTTGACATATTCAAACTAATAGCGTTTTATATAAAACAAATAAGACTCTTTTTATCTAGAAGAATAGACAAAAACTCATAGCGAAAAAAATCACCTAGAATTAATGTAAAACAATATGAATTTCCGTTAGAAAGACGGGAATTTTTTTTGTGACCCATGAGCCACTGATAACCTAGCTCACAGCTCTATAGGTAGTTTTCGATTCGATTATGGTTTTTTTTTCAGTTCATCGGTTGAAAGACTCGGTTGAGTAGCTTAAGACTCTTCGCCGCTCAAAAAAAAAATATCAATTTTCGTCAAAAATGTCGAAATTGAGACAAATGTATAGGAAGATAGCTCGTCTTCTGATCTTTTAGAAAAGGCATGGTTCTTTTCGGTCTTTCATTTTTGATGATTTCCGTTAACTTCTTCTTAAAAAGTATGCTTATTTGGAAAAAAAAGCGCAAAAATATTTTTTGTTTTTTTCTCCGTTTATACTTTCTCAATAGCGTAATCCAAATTTCTCTTCTGGTCTACATTCTATATATTTGAATTCTTTTTGTGTGAAAGAGCATATCAAGATGTAGGGCACCACAGAGTCTTTTTTTTTAAATTAAGCTTTGATTTTATTATATATATAAACAAATATATGAATGGACACCCAATTTTGGCGCATTTTTAGAGTCTTTTTTAAGACGTTGAACTTATCACTTGTTTTTTCTACATAAAAAAGTAAGAATATAAGAAAAAAGGACTCTGTGGTGCCCTGCATTCTGACATGCTCTTTCAAATAAAAAAAAAATGTTAAGTATATAGAGTGAATCTGGACGGAGAAATTTGAGTTGTCAAATGAGCTATTTTTGATCCTTGTTTGGTGAATATCTTCATCAAATACCATGCTATAAGGCTGAATATTTTATTACATCTTTTCCACTTCATTCCCTACATATTCTAAAAATTTCATACTTTTAGCATATATCCAGCCTGAGATCGATTTTTGAGGAAGAGTGGACCTTAAATCCTACCGAGTGCGTAACCCATTTGATAATTCTCATCTTGACTACATCAGAAAAAGACAGTAAACTAAGTTGTGAAACCGATTTCAACGACAGAAAAACTATATATATGTCGTATTTGATTGTACAACCAAGCAATATGTATATATAAAGATGTTGGTGAATGACATATGTCATATCGTAACCACGTCTTCATTGAACAAGCTTGACTATAATGTGTATAAAGATACTTCTAGATACATATAAATAAATGTAGATAAATCCTATTTTTTCAGCTATATATTTTATATTTGATCGTTTGTTCGACAAAAACACAATATCAGCGACGTCTTCTATTGATGAAAGTCGCAATATTTATGAATAGATAAATAAGTGAATTAAATATGTAGTCACACATAACAACATGTTAACTAGAATCAATGACAAAGGCATGCTTCGTAAATAGCATACGCCTTTTGTCTGTCTGCATTTGTCTATACGTAATTCAGCTCATGTAAAGCATGCATATTGACAAATAAATATCAGGCAAAAATGATGCCTGACTTTAGTTTCTCGAACAAAAATGACGTAATAGAATTCTCTCTATGTACCATTGCACTTACCTGAAAAAAATATAAAGAAAACATATTACGCATTTCTAGAAAGGATAACTGTTTGATCAAGCAAGGCACATGATATTTCAATCAAAATCTATAGTTGCTATTTATTCTCGTAGGAATGCATGTATTATTTACATTTCATCGAAACCGATGATGAACCTCATTCGATCAACAACCAATAATTCGTGCAGTTTAACTTTAGTATGCCAATTTTTTTATTAAATTAGGTTTTGTTTTTGGGAAAGATACCAATTTCTTTCAAAATAACACATTTTATTTGTCATAGGAAATTTTTTACATAGTGCTGTAACAATATCTATTTTCTCTATTCTTTTGATTACGTGATGATTACTGATCTA